AAGGAGATATGTGAGAGAGGAGGACCAGGATAAATCATCTGGTCACGTTGAGTTGATGTTTGTGGTTGCGGAGGGTGGACGAAGAGTGCCGAAATCTTACGAATGCGCGATTGGGTCCTAGGATTTTGGTAGAGCACCGGAAAACTTTGCCAGTCAGTGTCATAATTTTTCTCGTATTTCTCGTAAAAATTCACTGTCGCTTAGATTTTACCGTATGGCACAAGAATTTTTCCCCGCATTTATCGGAAAAATGACTCGTGCAACAGTACTTTTTCCAACGCTTTGCGGTACATTTCGCCTGGAAAGACCATCTGAACCCACTTTACTGTGCGAGCACGGTAATTTTTCTCGTACATTTCTCTCCGTGTATTAATTGGTTATACGTCACTCTTATAGTATAGTTTGACACTAGGCCAACGGGAACTTTTCTGGCGAATATGAGGTTACAGGACGAAGCGACGGCGAGTTATGTAATCATATGGGGTAAAAAAGTTCTTGACTGCCGTGTATCGAACCATGTATTTTGCCATTGGCCCCGAAAACCTCGATTTCACCGAGCGAGGCGCACTGTTAGAAATTTTTTGAAATTTCAAGAAAGATATCGCGTGTCTAAAAGCAAAAGGTCGTAAACGCCAAAAAGCTACTTTCCGAGTTTCTTAAAGCGAGTAGGTCGTATCTCTACTCATTTTTTCTGCAATTCTGCGTGAAAATACTGGAGAAACTTATTATAATACCTAACGCCCGGTAGCTTGGCGCAGTGGGTAAGTTTGTTGCCTCACATGCGAATGGTTCCGAGTTCAAATCCCGGCCGGGTAGAATAGTGCGATCTAACCATTTAAAGTCTTGATCATCATCCCAGTATACCCTAACCGGGTCGAAACGATGTAAAATAACGTTAAAAAAAAATTATAATACCTACTTTGTCAGGTTGATCATGAGCTGCATGAACGACTTTTTTCCTTTAACTTATATCTCCAGAAATGAAAAAGTCCCTAAAAGCAAAAGGTCGTAATGACAAAATTTTCAATTTTTTTAACATATACGACCTTTTACTTTTAATTTCTGTCCTCATTAATCGAGACTGACCTAAAAGTAAAAAAGGTCGTAAAGACCAAATTTGGCATTTTTCAATTTCCCTTTCCGTGGATAGGTTATACCTTCAGTATTCCAGTTGATGTCACTAGAAGTTATTGGTGTCTTTGATTATGGTAAAACAATTGTCATCGGCAATTTAATAACATAATTTGTGCGAAAACCGTTGTTCCATTTTTAATCCAGATTCGTATATGTCGGAGCATTGTAAAAACTCTCAAAATGTTTGTATCTTCCTAACATTTTTTGTCCACTAATCACCCCTTACATACCTCTTTCAAGATCCACGTGTGTATTACGTATTCGTAACAGAAGAGCGTATATCCAAAAAAATCTTAATTAGGGAACTGAAGCGATCTTCATTCTTAAGGGTCAAACCGGGCAGTGATCGGAAGAATCCCATGTACTCTCGAGGGTCAAATGGGATAGGCAGATACATTATCCAAATCATGAGTAAAAAAAATTTCGTTTTCCAGAACCAAGGTACTGAATTTAATAAACGTGTGGAAGGCATGATACGGAGAATAAAAAAACAAGTTATTTAATTTCTGTAAAAACATCCTTAACATTCAGTACCAAAGAAACCGTCATTTCGATTTAGAAAATTTTTAAATAAAATACCGTTCAATTTGTTAATTAAGAATTATGGGATTCTTAAGGGGATACACTACCGAGTTTCAAAATCTCTAGAATTGACAAGTGAACTACATTGGATCTCTTATAAAAAATTCATCCTCACTTTTGTCGGTATCAGTACTCTGAACCTTGTGTTCAATCTTCACCTCCATTTATCACCTGCAACTGACAGATTTTGGCGAAAATCAAAAATCGTTTTTTATAGTTTCATCCAAGCTTCGCTTTACGTACTCGAAATTCGCTTTACGCACTAGTAACACAATATACTGATTTCGATGATTTTTCCAATCCCCAGCATAAATAGCTAATTCATAAATAGCTTCATCTGGAAATGACCGTTTTTGGTCGTTACGTTCCTCTGTTACTAAGCTGCCGATACATATACATAGAGAAAAAAGTGGATCAGCTTTAGATACTAGTTTCTAGATTTTAGAAACTTCAATTCTTAAGCTTTATCCTTGGTGGGACCATAAAAACTAATAAATTTGGGGATTGCTTTTAAGAACTTTTTTGTTCTAAAACCAATGTTAAAATTTTCTTAATTTTAGAAAATTTTCAGATTGAACTAAAATATTGCGGTTGAGGTATTTAAAGGGCGTAAGTGCCCCATACATAGGAAGGGATGTCTAAATATCGGAAATTTGAGATGTGAGGAGAGGGGATTTTGCAAAAAGGGGGAGGAGGGGTTGTGAATTGAGAATTCACGACCAAAAACATTGAGTCGGTGAGTTTTTCAAAGATATCTCCGAAACTAAGGAGAAAAAAAACTTATAAAAATTTAAGGATATTTTGGTTTAAAATTAATCGCCATTTTGATCACTACTTTTAAACCGTTTTTTCTAAAACTTGGAAAAAATTGTCAAGATTTTAGATAACTGAAGGTTTTTAAAATTTAGAAACTTTTTTCTAAAGCTAATTCTCTCTTTGTATGCTGTACCATGTTTCGAGGGAATTTGCAACTTCTTCAGGTTATGTTGATTAAGAATCGCGAATTCATGGGCGCCTGATCATTCAACACAAAGGAATATTCGTCATTCTCTCAATGAATAGGAGGATATTTTTGCAAAAAAACTGCGCCAAGAAAAAGTTTTGTTTGGTTCTTACTGGGAAGTAGAAATTTTTGAAAAATACAAAGAAATGAGAAAGAAAGCCAAGTCAGCAATGTCGAATAAACGAAAATGGTGCACAATCAGATTTCTATAAGAGAAATTGTTTCAAATCGAATGAGGATTTAAAAAAAATTCTTGATGAAATAAAAAATTAGTAGAACGAGCACCAACGTCCTTCCCGCGGATCAGCAGATGGAGAATTAGATTGATACTAGACAATGAGTTGAAAAACTCTGCGCCAAAAACGTTGGTCCTCCTTCCACTAATTTTTTATTTCATCAAGAATTTTTTTAAACTGCTCATTCGATTTGAAACAATTTCTCTTATAGAAATCTAATTGTGCACTATTTTCGTCTATTCGACATTGCTGACTTGGCTTTCTTTTTCATTTCTTTGTATTTCTCAAAAATTTCTACTTCTCAGTAAGAACCAAACAGAACTTTTTCTTGGCGCAGTTTTTTTGCAAAAACATTTGTTTTTGTTTTTTCAGGGAGATTCCATTTTTTTTTCAAAATAAACAAGGAATTGTTTTTATATTCTGTAAATTTTTTCATTTTCAATTCAATTCGGCTCATTTATTTTTCACACGATAAATCATCTTTCCAATTAACAATCGAAGTAAAACAAATAGTTCTATTCCACAGTCGTTATTTGCACCAACTTTTAATTATTTATTCAAGATTTTCCGACTGAATTTGCTTCTTCGAGAATTCATTTGTGCACGGAACTCGATTGAAAAATATCTGTGGAATTCATCATTCATGCACCATATTCAAATTGTAAATTCCCGGGCTACCCTCCTTGGTGTGTGTGGTTGTATTGCACTGCTACCAACACCGTAACAAAAGAATGATAGGAGTTGATGTGAAATGCGAGAATGTGCATATTAACCCGTTGCTATGTGCGTATTTTTTTAAATATTGCTTCGAACAAAAAAATAGTTACATCAATGAGAAGCTTGTGGCCAATTTATATAATGTAACTAAGAGTATTTTTCATGTAGCTCGTCACGTTTGTATTTTATTTAATGGATATGATTCGGAGGTAGTGGAGGGGGTAGTTGCTTCGTGTATAGATACACGGCAGCGATCGGCCTGATGTTTTGTACAATCGGAGTCAAAAGTTGTCTTGGCCGAGACGCTGCCGCGTATCTCGATTCTAATTTCTGTAATGAGAAATGAGTGAAATTGAAGGAAACTTTTTCGAAAAGATGGACATATCAAACTGTGAACAAAATATAAAATTGGATATAGGACCGTTTCGCTTTACGTGAGACATTTTTCCAACTTTATAAAAAGTAAAAGGTCGTTTTTCCATTGATAACTAAACTCGAGATAGTTTAATTTTTTGGATTCACTTTGATCGGTATGCTGGCGGATAGGACCTTTTGCCGGAGAAGGCCATTTTTGGCATAAACGACCTTTTGTTTTAGACACACGATATTATAGTAAATTTCATGAGAGTAGCATTGTATCGGATTTAGAAAAAAAATGGTTGTGAAATTTCAAGTTTTAATGAGAATTCACGGAAATTCATGAGTTTTCAGTGGGAGTGAGATAGAAATTTCACAACTTGAATGGATTGTCAGTGCAACATGAATATACAGAAACAAAATGACATGAATTTTCAATTTTTCCTTGAATTTTCCTGTATTTTCGGTATTTCCACAGAATGCTTGAACTGAAAAATGAAGTATTTTATTGATTTCCAGATTATTTGAATTGGAAATCAATGGAATGTTTGATTTTTTTAATGACGAGATTTTCTAAAACTTCAGTAGGACTTGAACACAATAAAAATTCGCGGAATTTGCAGAAACAATAAAAAAAATATTTTTGAACAGTGCGTAGTTAAAATTGCAATTTAGCAGGCCTAGCGACAAAAAACGTGATTTACGTTTAGGTTTTTCTGTGTGCATGCAATATGATCATTCTACGACGGATCACATTTTAGCGCGCGGAATATAATTTGGAGCTCCTTAAAATAATTGACCTGGAGGAGTGCATCGTTGAAAAATAATTTCTTGTTCTGAGGCAAATACATTCTCAGCAAAAATAAATTTTTCTCTCAGTGCGGTACTACATTAATCATAATGCGTTTCGCTATTCTCTGATAATTTTTCTGTTTTTAGTTTTTTTAACAGTAATTGCGTTGTCTAGCGCCATGCCAGCAGAGCAAGACATCTCTGGGTGCGTGGGGATGTGCCCAGTGGAGAATATCAATAATGAAGTCCACTTACTGCCACATCAAAATTGCTCCCAGTTCTGTTCCTGCATCCATGGGACATCCTACGTAATCGACTGCCCAAAGGATTTATATTATTCAGAGGAGGATCGAGTCTGTACTTTCCAATCAGAAGCTCAGTGTAAAATTTCTGGAGAGAGGAGCGAAGCCCCTCCATCCCCAAATGCTCTGAGACAATTTGTAGATGATTTGGTGATCCCACGTGCTGAGAAAGGCAGATCGATTTCACTTGTAACACACATCCCAACACTGACTGTTACGGGTCCACCAACAACTGTAACAGTGATCCCAACTTCGACAACTACGTGCATAGTTATAACTGAAACAACAACCCCAACTTCAACTACAATCACGTGTCTACCCTCAACTGCAACAGTAACTTCAACCATAACTGCTACGTGCCTGCCATCAACTATAACAGAAACTTCAACCGTAACTGCTACGTGCCTGCCATCAACTACAACAGAAACTTCAACCGTAACTGCTACGTGCCTGCCTACAACTGTAACAGAAACTGAAACTTCAACTTCGACTGTTATACCAACTCCAACTGGAACAGTAACTCCAACTATAACTGTCACTACTATTCCAACTGAAACATTCACTTGCACTGATACTGTGACTATTACTCCATCTGGAAAAGTCATCCCAACATTGATTGCTACACCTATTCTCCCTGTGCCGACAACTGACCCTGAATTGAGAGGATGCATTGGTACCTGCTCGGCAGAGGATCCAATTAACGTCATACACCTGCCCCACGAGCATTGCAACAAATTCTGCAAGTGCAGTTACGGCTTACCCCACATATTCACGTGTGATCTGGGTCTTCACTTCAATCCCAAACTTCAAGTCTGCGACATACCTTCAAACGCGAACTGTAAGGGAATTGTAGACTAATTACTTTCGTCGAGGAAATCAATATTGCTACTTTATGTGAGAGTATTAAGTTTTTTGGAAAACAGATTTCAGGTTTGTACTAATGCAAGAAAGGATGAATCAATTGACACCGTTTCTGTATTATACAGATTGGCAATGATAATAGCCATAATATTCATAATAATTTTTCATTTTTTAAATTAGAAACAATAACACGAATGGATATAGAGAAATCTAATTTTGAATTTCACAGTATAATTGATTACTTTCAGAAACAATTTTCTTGGGATATCGACCATTGGAAATCCAATTATCCTGAATTTCGAACTTGAATCTAATATTAGGGTGAGTGAGCAAGAGCACTCTTCCAACTGAGATATAATTATTCAAATACCAAATTGTTTGCATTTTTAATGACGATTTTGTAAAGAAGGCGATCCTACAATATATATGGACAAATATCTACTCTTCTAAAAAAGTTATTTGGGGAGTGAATTTATTGAGTTTATACCCTTTCATTAAAATACTTCCTACATTTTTTTGTAATATTAGCCCAAAAACACGGAAAAAACTGCATGTGCGATACCATTGTATTCGTCTCACCGAGTACAACTTTTGCAAGACGAAAATTTTTGGTCCTATTGAAAAAAATGAACTTATAATTGTAGCATAGTTACATAAACACTTATGCTCAAAACATGCTCCCGAGTAGAAATTTCGTCGGTTTATCATCGGTTACCGATGCGGTGCAACCGGCATGGTCACCGATTCCACATACGTTTCAACCTACAAGGAACTCATGAAAACGTCACGCAGTTACCTCACAAGTTACAAGTAGGTTGCGACCCATCAAAAACTCACGTGATTATTTATTAACCTCATTATTATTAACAATTTGTCAATGATTAATAACTCATTAATTGCCATGGGAAAGCATGCCCAATAATAACAATCGATTTATACACGCAGAAAAAGAAAAAAAATCACATTATCGGTGAGTGGTCACCCATCCAATTCCGAAACCTACTCGATGTTACTTAACTTTGGTGATCATCTGTTGTGCTGAGAACTAAGTCCGCTATCTTGCGATTCTTGGGAATATAATATTTAGATATTCTAGATAAGGCGAAGATTCGGATTCTTTGATGCTTGACATATGATTTTGCCCAAACCTTAATTATGACCCTTTCTTAATTAATAAACCTTATTTCTGACCCTCACGACTCTTATTTTTTATCCCCATTTTTGGCCCGCGTAACCCTTATTTTTGACGTTTTTTTACTCTCATTTCTGACCCTCGTGACCCTTATTTCTGACGTTTATTTTTGTATCTCATTTCTGACCCTCATGACTCTTAGTTTTTACCCTTCTTTGTAAGCTTCATTCCTGACCCTCGTGACCTTTTTTTATGGCGTCTATTTTTTATCCCCATTTTTGGCCCGCGTAACTCTTATTTTTGACGTTTTTTTCACTTTCATTTCTGACCCTCATGATCCTTAGTTGTTACCCTTCTTTCTGACCCTAATTCCTGATCCTCGTGACCCTTCTTTCTGACTTTTGATTTTGACCTTTATTTAGGTTACTGATGGGTTCTCTGATGGGATCAGTTATGCCCGACCGGACTTGGACAATTAAATGTCTTCAACACCTTATAAGGGGCAAATAAGTTACAAAGGGGTTGAGCTACATAAGTTAGTGATCGGTGGTAAACTCATCTGTCACCCACAATGATCATCCCTACTAGTATTGTTGCATTTGGAACCTACAGGTTACACGTCAGGTACAACCTATGAGTCAGTAACCTGCAACAAACTCATAGGTTTCCAATGCACATTGATGGCTCCCGACGAAATTTCTAGTCGGGCTTCTCATTATTTTTCCCCCCTTGAAACCCTATACCTCGGGTCTGAAACCTTTTCGCTTTCAACTACTTTTAGCTAGTTATTTAGCCATACAAGTCATCTTGGGACACCCTGTATATGTTTAGGTGAACCCTTGTTGATTCATGAATAAGGCCGGAGACTTCATTTACGAAAACGGCTATTATCAGAAGTTGGCTCCAAATAGGTGATTGAAGTAAGCGACAAGTAGGGTTGGGAAGAAATTGAAACATTGATGTTCGAATTTGTCATAATTCATTGATTGGAGGGCTATTTTGTTGACGGAGTGAGGAAAAGCGTTTGAACGTGAATTGGGTATTTTGAAGAGGGTCAATGGGAGATCTCGGTGATTTCTTAGGGTCAACTTACCAGGAGAGCTATCGGGTTCTTTCAAAAGGGGATTAATGGAGGCCATGTTCGAGGGGAGATATTGGGGGTCAGTTCCCAGAAGAGCCCTCAGGGTCTTTTAAGGGAGGGAGGGGGTCAATGGAGGGAATGGACGAGGGGAGATCTCGGGAGGTTTTTGGGGAGTATCTTTATAGTGAAGCTCTCGTGGTATTTTTAAGGGGGAAGGAGAGGGGGGGTATGGTCAAGGGGAGATCGTGGAGGTTNTGGGGATAAGTTCCCAGTGCATCTCTCAGGATCTTTCTAGAGGGGGTGGGGGTCAGTGGTGTATGGTCAAGTTTTTTGGGGGTCACTCTCCAAGGCAGCTCTCCGGGTCATTTCAGTGGGTGGCGAGTCAATGTAGGGGATGATCGTGGGGAGATCTCGGGGGGTTTTTGGAGGGTATCTTTTCGCATGGCTCTCCGGGTCTTTTCAGGGGGGGGGGGTCGATGAGGCCAAGAGGAGATCTTTGAGGTTTTTTAGGGGTAACTTTCCAGGGCAGCGTTCAGGTTTTTTTAACCCATTGAACAACCTCACAGTATCCCACTCTTCGGAATTTGGTGGTAGTATGCGTGCGCAGCTGAGCATTTTTTATGGCGCACTGATACGTTGAGGGGCTCCCTACTCTCCTCACACCGATACCTTCGGTGAC